TGCAGAATTATTAGGCAAGTTGTATTTTGTGTCTTGTTGCATTGTAAACCCAGGGACCGAATAAAGGACTCCCAGGAATCTAGGACTGGGCTTTTGGCGAGTAACAACTGGTGGGCCCAGATCTTAAGGTGCCCCGACAATAAGGTAATCGCTGTCCTCACTTTAATGACGTCTGTGGCATAGGTAAGTGGTCTCAGGGAGAACAGGACCTCGCAATCAACTTTGAAGGTATCATACTTAGACCGGATCCCAGAAAATTTCTCGGGTAGAGCAACCAGCGGTTCAGAGAGTCCAGAGTCATAGGTTACTCTCCCTTTAAGGGAAGCCAGCTCCTGCTGTAAGCCCTGCAAAGCCTGGGTGAGCTGGGAAACTTGCTGGGTCAAGGCTGCAACGGTAATCTTCAACTCTGCAGACTCCATTTGGTCAGATCGTACTGTCAAGGATCTTACCTGAAGTGGGAGTCCGGCACGCAGAGTTGAGGCACCCTTTGCAATTCGACACAGACCGAGGGGACTCAGGACAGAAATCCCCAAGGCTGTGACACAGTGCACTGGGGCTGAAATAACCAGTGCTTCCTGGAACGCAGTACAGACAAAGGATATCCAGAAGAGTAGTCAGTATCAGAATCAGAAGTCAGGACGGGCGGCAATCAGGCGAAAACAGTAGACGAGCAGGAGATCAAAAACAGGAGTCAGAAGAACAGCAGTGAAACCAAACAGGAACAGGAAACACGATCTGACAACGAGAACCAGCCTTGCGGGGTTTAAATAGGGAGTCTCAGCCAATCATCAAGGAACCAGGAACAGGTGTGCACATTCCAAGTGAACAGGCTCAGACTACAGGATACCAAGAACAACCAGAAACAGTCAAAGATGCGTGGAGCTCAATGCAAGGATACCGACTGGGATGCAGGAAACTCAGGTTTGATCCCAGCCAGACCCAAATACACAATATTGTGTAAAGCACCATGGCGATCCTGACAGTACTACTGCTTGAAGAAGGTGTCTTCCAGGAACTGGCAGTAGGACTGGGAGTTGAGCTTGACTCCATCCTCAACCCGAAAAGGCCCCACAAGCTCATCTTTGATGATACCAGCCCAAACCAGTACTCCACCTCCACCTTGCTGGTGTCTGAGTCGGACTGGAGCTCTCTGCCCTTTACCAATCCAGCCACGGGCCCATCCATCTGGCCCATCAAGACTCACTCTCATTTCATCAGTCCATAAAACCTTAGAAAAATCAGTCTTGAGATATTTCTTGGCCCAGTCTTGACGTTTCAGCTTGTGTGTCTTGTTCAGTGGTGGTCGTCTTTCAGCCTTTCTTACCTTGGCCATGTCTCTGAGTATTGCACACCTTGTGCTTTTGGGCACTCCAGTGATGTTGCAGCTCTGAAATATGGCCAAACTGGTGGCAAGTGGCATCGTGGCAGCTGCACGCTTGACTTTTCTCAGTTCATGGGCAGTTATTTTGCGCCTTGGTTTTTCCACACGCTTCTTGCGACCCTGTTGACTATTTTGAATGAAACGCTTGATTGTTCGATGATCACGCTTCAGAAGCTTTGCAATTTTAAGAGTGCTGCATCCCTCTGCAAGATATCTCACTATTTTTGACTTTTCTGAGCCTGTCAAGTCCTTCTTTTGACCCATTTTGCCAAAGGAAAGGAAGTTGCCTAATAATTATGCACACCTGATATAGGGTGTTGATGTCATTAGACCACACCCCTTCTCATTACAGAGATGCACATCACCTAATATGCTTAATTGGTAGTAGGCTTTCGAGCCTATACAGCTTGGAGTAAGACAACATGCATAAAGAGGATGATGTGGTCAAAATACTCATTTGCCTAATAATTCTGCACTCCCTGTATTATGAGAGGGGGGATTTAACTGTAAATAGGACAGTTACAGGAAAACTTACAGGAACGATAGGTTTAAGAGGACCCAGTGCAAACGAGCTTACAGTCTATAGGAGGTGGGTTATAAAACACATTGTAGCGGAGATCTAGTATTCCACTAGTTATCTCCACTTAAGATCCCAGTGAGGCTTAGGAACAAGTATTATAAATCCATAAGGCAAGGTTTCCAGCAGGTAAAATAATCCAGCAATATCCCAACAGCGATCCCAATAACTGGACGACACACAGCATCAGGAGCAGAACTAAACTTTTATTCACACAGTGGCCTTATAAAGCATGCTCCCATGCAAGGGAGGGATTTACAGTAATTACTACAGTGCCCAATCTTACTCGAGTAACCTCCCACACATCTCCTCCCCTTAGCCTGACTCATAATCCCCTTATACAGTACACAAATTCCCCCAGTTTCTGGATGTACCCCTAAACCTAGGGGTACCCCTTTAAATGTCACATCCCCTGGTAGCCCTGATCTGGGTGAGAGACATATCCAAAAATCACCCAGATCGGACCAGGGGTTCAGGAAATCTGTGGAGGTAATAAAAAGACCAACCGCGCTGGAGAGAACAGCCGAATCGGGTTCCATGCGATGGGGCCCTGCGGTCAGTCACAGTACAAGGGAACAAACTGCACGAATTGCTAGGGTTACAGAGATCAGGGAGGGTTCGCGTGAATCCCCTCGTTCGGTTGTTTCTTTCTACCGAACGGGGGTCATTCGGTAGTTTGGAAGTGAATACAAGGTTAGTGTGGAGGTCTCAGCGGTGTTCGCCTAGTCGAGTGTCCGATTTGGGTTCCAGACACTCGATGGCAAAACACCGCTGTTCGGGAGTTTTAAAATGGCCGCCGCCACGTGTTCGTTTCCCGAATGGCGGCCACCCCGAGAACAAAGGACCCACTGCACAGATTGTCAATTACCGGTTCGCAACATTGTTGCAACTGGTAATTGAAGGCACACTTCACACTGGGGAGGTCTGACTGCTTGGTAGTTTCATTCCCATAATTGCTAGAATGATTCTACCGAACAATCAGACGAATACTGCATACATTTCCACATATAACATTGCAATTTAACCGAAGACATTAAAATACATGAACTTTCCAGGACAGCCCAGTGCCATCCACTACACACATTAGGACAGGAAATATCAATCAAATAAGGTGGGAGTGAAGCAGAGCTGGAGGAGAGAGTAGAGTGCTACCCTTACGAGAGGGCAAGAGACAGGTATGTATGGAACGTTTATACCGTTTTATAAACAGACTAAAAAGCAACATCTTTTGCAGAAAGTGATGGTGCATTGTGATTTTATCCTCCTATTATGCAGAGCATTAATTGCATTTTAATATATTTCCAGTTTATATAAATATATGTCATATAAAATCTAACTGCCTTGTTCACTGGCGCTCAGGGAATAATGGGGCGATGACCAGTTGGTTGGCGTGCTCAGCTTTTTTCACGTTTCTCCGTTGAGCTGGAATTCGGTTAGAATCAGCGGAAGGAACATTCATTTCAAAGTAAAAATAGACACTGGGGACCTAATTTCCTGGTAAATGTAATTTGTCATTAGCTGGCTGTGCAGCAGTAACAGTCCCCTGCCTTACCGTTCTGTTTTATGCCTCTTGTATGCGTTTTTCACATATTTCGAAAATCCCTGTGTGAATATGAAAAATGATTGGCTTTTTATTAGGACCTGCGCTAAACCGACTGTGAAATCTTTTGGCGCTCACTGTTATACAGAATGCTAAAACTCTTAATAGGAGATTTTCATAAACCGAGAGTTTAATGTGACAAATTGCTGACCATAGATTTTTTTTATTTTAAACTTTTAATTTTGCAGGCACTTCCAAGAAAAAAAATCAGTGTAATGTGCATTCTTTTTTGGAAAACGACCAGCAGTCTCAGTGTCCTCCTATATATTTACTTTATTACATGAAATTAGAGATTGTCAGCATTTATAGGGATTAGCTTTTACGTTCCTGACAGTTATATACGAGCCAACTGTCTCAGATTTGCACTTATAGTCCTGCTTCTGAATTCTGCGATGCCAGCATTTATGCCGGAATTTAACGTCTTTATTCATTTTCTTTTAGTTGGAGCCCAACTGCTGCTCAAGCATTGCATTAATTTAAGAAGATTTAAGGATTATTTTAATGGGAGTTTTACATGGTTGGGGAACCTGTGTGAATGAGCTGATGTGTTTGACGAGATGTTGTCTAATCCTCACTCCCATCTGCCTTAGCCAATGACTCTCACACAGAGGATCTTTTGCTCGAAGTCTAGGAATGATGGGCCGTGGAGTCCTGAGTTCAAGCTTTTAAGGCAGAGAAGGAAGGGTTTATGTAGTTACTGTGTTTCAGGCTGTTAGTCTGGTTTAGGAAGGTAAATAAACCGCTGTAAAAGGTAAATGGCTAAACACAGAGGTAACACACCCTCAGAGGTGCCTTGTGTGTACCACGTACAGTGTGTGTCAGGGAGATTCAGCAGCCAATTGCATTGCTATGTACATACTTACAGAGCTGTCCCAAGTACTGAACACACACTGCTTTCACTGCTTAGAGGAACTGTCCCAGGTACTGAACACACACTGCTTTCACTGCTTAGAGGAACTGTCCCAGGTACTGAACACACACTGCTTTCACTGCTTAGAGGAACTGTCCCAGGTACTGAACACACACTGCTTTCACTGCTTAGAGGAACTGTCCCCGGTACTGAACACACACTGCTTTCACTGCTTAGAGGGACTGTTCCAGGTACTGAACACACACTGCTTTCCCTGCTTAGAGGAACTGTCCCGGGTACTGAACACACACTGCTTTCCCTGCTTAGAGGAACTGTCTCTGGTACTGAACACACACTGCTTTCACTGCTTAGAGGAGCTGTCCCCGGCACTGAACACACACTGCTTTCACTGCTTAGAGGAACTGTCCCCGGTACTGAACACACACTGCTTTCACTGCTTAGAGGAACTGTCCCGGGTACTGAACACACACTGCTTTCACTGCTTAGAGGAACTGTCTCTGGTACTGAACACACACTGCTTTCACTGCTTAGAGGAACTGTCCCCGGCACTGAACACACACTGCTTTCACTGCTTAGAGGAACTGTCCCCGGTACTGAACACACACTGCTTTCACTGCTTAGAGGAACTGTCCCTGGTACTGAACACACACTGCTTTCACTGCTTAGAGGGACTGTCCCAGGTACTGAACACACACTGCTTTCACTGCTTAGAGGGATTGTCCCAGGTACTGAACACACACTGCTTTCACTGCTTAGAGGGATTGTCCCAGGTACTGAACACACACTGCTTTCACTGCTTAGAGGAACTGTCCCGGGTACTGAACACACACTGCTTTCACTGCTTAGAGGAACTGTCCCTGGTACTGAACACACACTGCTTTCACTGCTTAGAGGAACTGTCCCAGGTACTGAACACACACTGCTTTCACTGCTTAGAGGGACTATCCCAGGTACTGAACACACACTGCTTTCACTGCTTAGAGGGATTGTCCCAGGTACTGAACACACACTGCTTTCACTGCTTAGAGGAACTGTCCCGGGTACTGAACACACACTGCTTTCACTGTTTAGAGGAACTGTCCCAGGCACTGAACACACACTGCTTTCACTGCTTAGAGATACTGTCCAGTTCCACTCATGGATAATCTCCATATTGTGCTTATTCTGAGTGTCTCTGGCCATATATCTTCTACTTCAGGCTGAAATGTTCCTATAAGAGGCCAGATTCTGCAGACAGATAGTATAACGGGTCCACAGAGCTGCTCTCCACTTGTTTATTGAGTGTGTGAGATCAGTAGTGAATGGACAAGTAACAGGAATTGGTATGTTTTAAATTGGACTTATGTATACAGAGCACATTGCCACAGCAACAATTACCATGGAAACCAATGTAATGTTAAAAAAATGGAATGTTCCTGCTGATTGCTCTGCAGCTGTAATATCACCATGGAAACTAATAGAATGTTCCTGCTGATTGCTCTACAGATGAAACAATCACCGTGGAAACCAACAGAATGTTCCTGCTGATTGCTCCACAGCTGAAACAATCACCATGGAAACCAATGGAATGTTCCTGCTGATTGCTCTACAGCTGATACAATCACCATGGAAACCAATGGAATGTTCCTGCTGATTGCTCTACAGCTGATACAATCACCATGGAAACCAATGGAATGTTCCTGCTGATTGCTGTAATCTTTGAAAAACTGTTCATGGAGCAGCTTTCCCGGACTTCTAATGCAGAAATAGGTGATCATTACATAATTGTAGAAGAGCATTAGGTAGGTAATATAAATTTACTTAGCTACTCAATAAATCACACTGTCTGAAAAGCCTTTTATTGCACAGTCCTGTGTTGTATTAGGAGTGATGCCTCATTAAAGCAATAAACCTCTCGCTCTACTTACTTGTTAGCTAATCACCCTTTTAAAGCTGTGATTATTGAACTCTGCATCGCTGGCCATAGAGTGCCATGGATGCCGTTCAGAACTCTCCCCCGGTAGTGATACATGACCTCTGCCCCTCTTACAGTGTGACAGTCTTAATGGGCTGATGGCCATCCAAACATTTAATGGCTGATGTAACTGTGTAGGAGCTTCCAATAATTCCTGCTGATTTATATCTCATAGTGTGGTTAGTTTAACATACCAACTACAGATCCCTGTAATATCAGATGTAATATTGTATTTACTGTGCCCAGGTTAAACAGCATCCTGTACTGTGATCATCTAGCTGGTGCAAGGAGGTAATCTGGCATCCGGGAACCTCCTATCACCATAACAACTTTATTCTGATAAAATTGTTATGGTGCCAGAAGTGTTTGTTTGACATGTCATGGTGCTCAGTGGGAAGTATTTAGAATTCGGCAGATCTCATTTACCGGTGACTTTGTTATATAAGAAAAGTAAATATTTCCTGTAAGGTTCCTGGTTTTAGCCTAATAAACCTTAGAAAATGTGACACATTTACGATATTTTGCATCTGACCATGTGTTAAAGGAATACCGCAGATTAAAATTCCCTGTTTCACATTTCAACATAAAAAGGTACTTTAAGGATACTTTGCACAAAGATCTTCTAAATATAAAAAAAAAAAACAACAAAAAAAAAAACCAACCAAAAAAAAACATTTTATTGAGCTGCAAATGATACGATAAAAGTAGACCCCTACGGAGAAGCTGACAGTATAGGGATGTAAACAGTAAAACCGCTCAGCAATATTTCATATTTTAGGAAACATCAAGGAAAAGCAAAGCAACAAATTAAGTATATCTGTGGTAGAGGTGTCAAATTCGCCATCAGTACTCCTCTGTCTCAACTCCCTGGGGGGTCAGTCTGCAGTGGTTATAGTGCCTGTGGCTGCTGCACCCCATTCTGCATCCTCTGAACCTCGATTTACGGCCAGGAAACTGAGTGTTTATTCCAGCATTCCGAGATGGCAGCCGCTGCTTGAGAGGACTGGTCTGCAGGTCAGAGGAAGTGTGGCTGAGGAGCGGAATCTCCGAGCAGGCAGCCGCTGCATGAGAGGACTGGTCTGCAGGTCAGAGGAAGTGTGGCTGAGGAGCGTAATCTCCGAGATGGCAGCCGCTGCATGAGAGGACTGGTCTGCAGGTCAGAGGAAGTGTGGCTGAGGAGCGGAATCTCCGAGCTGGCAGCCGCTGCATGAGAGGACTGGTCTGCAGGTCCGAGGTTGGAGGAGGTGTGGCTGAGGTTCGGAGCCAGGACAATGATGTATCCAAGATGGGGCTGTGTCCCACAGTCAATCACTTTGACCTCAGGTAACCCCTCCCACAGGTGAGACCAGGTTATATAATTGAGCCGCACCATTATAAGCAGAGCACACCTTTCAGTCAGTGCTTGGTTGTTTTGTTGCCTCAGAACTCCTAATGTTTGTTTCCTTGTGTTTCCTGTCCTTGCTGGTTTCTTGACTTTGTCTGCTCTCTGGATTTTACTGATTACCGCCCAGATTTCTCTGTTATTTTATTAACATCACTGACCTGATAGAATCTGGTTCTCAACCTCAGGATCTCTGTGAATCGTGCTTATAAGGGAGAGATCCAGGACTGAACACGACCCAGCAGGATGTTACAAACATGCCTTTTAATTTACTTCAAGGAGAGAAGGAATATTTTGGAATTTACTGGAAAACGTGTCTCTATTTTTATATTTTTGTTTTTTAACTCATCCTAAATGCAAAGTTTTTCCTTTAACCCCTTAAGGACCAAACTTCTGGAATAAAAGGGAATCATGACATGTCACACATGTCATGTGTCTTTAAGGGGTTAAATGGAGGCGGTGATAAGGCATGGATCCAGAGCTGGCTCGTTGTTATGACTCTCAGCGTTTATTTTGTGGTAGTTGAGAGATGATGACAGAATACTAAAAAGGGTGTTTTCAGGATGGATGGTAATATAGAAGGGGTATATAGATCTGGGGACTAAAACTGCTGGGATCTGGTGAAACCGGATTCATTTGGTAATTTTCCAATGTGGAATTCTTTCTGGGAGAAATCTAAAGATAATATAAAACCTTTAGAGACATATGAGACAGACGTAGCTGCTGGTAATACGGTGGTTTAATGGGGTTAGTTGTATAAGTCTTGTAGTGAGACAATCACCATGTGATACAGAGGAAGCATTATGTGTAAGAATGGGTTTCCCGATCTTTAGAAATGAGAGGATGTAGTGTCTGCCTTGGAAATAAGGAATGTGAGGGAGCAGCAGTTTCGGGATGTTTAAGCTCACTAGTTAGATGAATTAAATGATGTATATGGTTGAATAAAGGGTCAGTTATGTTAATGTCCTTTTTAACGCGAAGGTGGTTTTAACTTGGGATGTGCATGGGCAAACAATTCCGTTCAGTTTGGAAATTTGAGTAAGCAAAATATTTTTGTCTGCTTCGGCAATTCGGACCAATGGCATTCAGTTTGGCAATTTAGAACTTTGGACATTCGTAAGCATCCAAATGTCTAGTATTACATTGACTCTCTGGTCCAGGACACTCCCATACAAAACAAGAGAATTCCTCCCCTGTGCCTGGGAGATAAGGGACTGTACAAAACTCAATTATCTCCAGGCACAAAAAACACACATTTCCCAAACACCCCAAAAGTACCTTAAAAATACATAAAATCCCCTGATAGTCCCGATCTGGGTGACCAACATATCCAAGAATCACCCAGATCGGTTCAGGGGTTCAGGATTTTCCTGGAAGTCATAATTTGACCAACCGCACACATGGTCTCATGCCCAAAACAGTCTTCAGAGAATCAGGGCTTGCGGTTGTAACGGCACCCTCAGGCATAAAAGGGGTTAATAGCCGTTTAGGAGATATTCCCTTCCAGATATACAGGCAGCTACTGTAGACACCAATCCACCGAACCGGAGAAGCATACGAATGCTCTCAAACATACGAATGCTGTAAACAGCCGAATAGGAAAAACCATACGAAAGGTTTACACTCCTAGCAGTCGAACTGAAACAGCATACAATAAATCCCCCCAAGAACGAGACAAAGCTCTGTGTTGAGGGTAAAGCAGGAACAGACTGAACTGTGTCTTTATTGCCTTATGTGCAAATTTTACAGACATAGTGTCATGCGGTATCTCTTCCGAGTTCAGCACTTCCGCATTGCGGAGCCGGCCCCGCCCCCTTCTGACGTGGCTCTGAAAGTACTTAGGGAGACCGCGCCAGGGAGAAGGCGCTTGGTGATTGTGGGACCTACTTCCGGGTATTCACGCCGGCTCCACAAGCTCTGACAAGCCATCCCAGCCTTTGAGCCAATGCAAGGATTGCTGCAAGCCATAGAGGATTACTGGAGAACGGATACTTTGCTACTTTACAAGTGGACTATAACTCTGAACTATTGGAGGACAACTCACCTTAACCTTAACCTTAAGTATATCTTTCAACTATTGTCTGCAATATCATTTATTAATGAACCAATTCCTGCTTGCTCAAATCTTCTCTGCTTCAAGTTACTAATTATATGGAGGACAACTCACATCATGATTATTTACTATGAACCGTTTCTTGCTTTGCAAACACTCTCTGCTACCTGCTTAATGTTTCTATTGAAGAATTCCCAGTAACCTAAAGAATCTTATTAAAAACTTATCTGAGGAAATACTTATTAATGAACTTTGTATTGTTTGATAACCTGCACTTTCTTCCTATTGGATTATTGCCTATATGCAATTCATTTAAGTTTATCAATCATTAAAACTTTGTTTGATTCTCTAATTGCCAGCAATCCTCTCTTTTCTTAAAGCTAC